CACCACGACCACCACCACAACCACGAGGAAGAAAAAGAAATGGAAGAAGAGGAAGAGGAAGAAAAAAAAAGAGGTGAACTTCCTAAAAAAAAAAAAAAAAAAAAAAAAAAAAACTAGCCAGGAGAGGTTCAGCAATTGCTTGTAAATGTCAATGCTAAGTAAGGATTCCAGAGAATTACAAAGAAATTTTTATCTGTGTCTGAATCCTAATTTTAGTCATGATGATGTCTAAGCTAGGCACTTGACAGCTGGCCTTTTTCAGTTTCCTTGCTCTTTGCACAAATGTAGTAAATGGTATTAAGTCATTTTATGCTACTAATGAAGATTTATCTCTATTTTGCTAATCCTAATTGATCTTTCATTTTTATTTTAATGTATCTACTGGAGGATTAGTGGTCAGAGGTTTTGCTATGTACCTGTAAATACGTAGTATGACCTGGAGGAAGCCATGCTGGACATCAGCCTTAAGAGCACAGAACATATGACCAGGCTCCACAACAGACTATCACCAAGTAGCTAGTAGGTGTAGAAACGCAGGTGACGAGAATACAAAGCGCCTCAAACTCGTGTAGTTCTACCACTTGTGGTAACTCTAACATCACAGGCTCCCTGGTTATAATGCTCACTTTCTGAACATTATATTTTATCCAAAAATTGAAAGGGGGCTGAGTATTTATGCAGGTATGGTTCTGTTTTTAAAAACTAAATGAGCAAACTACATTTAGTGATACCATTTTATGAATCCTATGTAATGAAATTGAACATAATGCCATGTCTTAGGTGCCAGGGAGATAGCTCAGTAGAATAAGCACTTGCTTGGCAAGTGCAGGGTCCTGAGTTCAATCCCTGAAACCACAAAAAACCCAATAATAATAATAATAATAATAATAATGCCATGCCTTTATGAAAATGTCAAATTTCTATACACAGGGAAATAAATACTTCCCACTCACATAAAATATTGTCCAGATTGCCTTGAATGCCATGATTACTTTTTCTAATTATGAACAAGAAGGAAACTGTATTTCTGCAATAAACCTCTGCCATCAGTTGTCTATGTTTCTCCACAAAAACATGTCCCCTTGCCTGTTCAATGCATCTAACAACTCTCCTAACTAAACACAGATTGAAATGTGTCTTTCACAAAATCCATGATTTTTAAATAACTCTTGAGCTACTGACAGAACTAAATGTCTCTAAACTAGAAGAGCTGTTAAAATATTTTTCTTCTGAAAAGTTTTGCACCTTACCTGGGGTCTATGCTAGCCACAGTAAAACCAGCCAGTATTCCCAACTTTGTGTTGGATTAGGTGTGCTTA